TCGCTAACTTAGTATAAACGTAGCAAAATATAAGAAATGAAAAAAGGTTTTTAGGGAGAGTAATTATAACGGATTTTCCATTAATTGAACGCATATTTCGACAATACATTTTCCTATAGCTATCTTTAACAGTTTCTGACTTATTCCCATTTTATTGAATTGACATTATTTTTTTCTCATTGTTTAAAATTCAATTGTTATAAAATCCTGGCCAACTACTAAAAAGAAAATGCGAAAAAAAAATGGCATCAATTCAATGAAATGGGAATAAATCAGAAACTGTTAAAGATAGCTATAGGAACATGTAATATCAAAATATTTAAGAATAATTTCGATTCTCTATCTCATGCAATAGTAAGAACATGGTCATTCCATTTAAAAATCTGAGTTTTTAGTCTTTGGATCTCCATACGTGCGGTTGGACGCAACTTCACATTTTTTTTAAGTACACTAAAAGAAAGCCCTATTCATTCTCTATGAACTGATAAAAATGGGTTGCCATGATTACAACCGTTTTCAAGTAATCAATTATGAAGGTACCATCTGCACCCGCCATTTTTTTTTCTTAAAGTCAAAATAACTTAAAAACCATATAAATGGCAGATATAGACCTGCGGCCATTTTGAAAATATTTTACATCCATTCAATCTGCAGAGTAATTCTTAAGTACAAATTGTCAAAAACCTACCCATTTTACTTTCTCATATAAACGTTAAACTAAAGTCCCAAAAAAATACCCTGTAGGTATAGGTACGTACCACTACCGCAATTAGTGCAGTGATCTGTTTAGGCAAAATAAAAAATATCAGAGGAGCTAAATTACACCTCTGGACTACTACAAAGGTATTTGAAACCTTTGAATATAAAATATGTTATTTTCAAAGATAAGGCATCGATTTTGCAAATGGTTTTGAAGAGAAGTTCTAAAAGAGGCATGAAAACCAAAGTTATCTTGTGCTAAAGTTACTGTTGTAGGGCTAGGATTTTAATGACGTTAAAAATCAGCGAAAATGCAAAATAAAAAATGCAATTATGACGTGAAAATCTCGCAAAAATGACGTAAAAATGTAAAAAGATGACATATACTTAAATGTTATATCCATACTAGACCATTTTACTGTTAGTTTTAAAATACAGAATCAGGAATCAGCATCCGCTAAACTCCTGTAACCTAAAAAAAATAAATAAAAGTAATTGAGAAACAAACTGTTTTAATTTAATTGACTCACTGGCTTTAACTTTAGGCATCGTGTTTACTACACAACAAAGGGAAAGATCGCACTATACCCGCTTTCGAACAAATGCACCAGGCACCTGTCTGTGAAGAAACTGAATAAAATCTAAGACCGCAAAATTATTTTAAGAAGCAATTAGGTAAGATAAGGCAGGAATGTCATTGCTGGTTCATTTCAATCATTACATACCGACTGCAGGCCATTCCTAGAAAGTATCTGTGTAAGTTACTGACTCACTGACCGCATCTCAAACAAATTTAATCCCTTAATGGGCATTCGTTTGTTGTAAAAGCTTTATAATATAGAGGTTTAAAGCTTCATTTCTAAACAGGTAAAAATACCTAGAACCACCGAGAATAGAAAAATATTGCATTTTGTTCTAGAAACCTAGACTGCATGAAAAATAAAACTAACAAAGGTTTATAAGCGCGCGAAGACAAATATCGTGAAATATTAAAAAAAAACTATAGCGCTGTTTCTCAAAAATGCAAAAAATTCAAAATAAAACACACAAAAACGCCCAAAATGCTGGAAACACCATAAAAATTTGTAAAAAATGCCCCATTCCCCAAAAATGGCAAAAAATGCACCAACAAGTTGATGTCATTTGATTCAATTTACCTATCCTGAAACACGTTTATGTATAACAGAGCAATGTCTCAGATTTTTAGAAAAACAGATGCAAAATAAAAAAATCCTATAGCCCTAGATGAGTAACTGAATTCAGTGCTACCTTTGTGTACAAGATACTGAATAATCACCTAAATGCCCCAGAATTGCTTCAGGAAATTAAACTCAAAGTGCCACATGTTTTGTAGTGACCACTACGTCATCACCACTATCGAGGAGTCTGTTGGCTTTAAATAAGAAGTGCCGTGAGAGAGACCTCGATATATTTCACGGCTCTTTGAATGAATTAATTAGTCATATTAGATCGTAATTACTATATGCAGTTTTAGTTTTAAGTACAGCATCCCAGTGCAATGTCATTGGAATACTTGCATTCTGTATGGTATCTGACTAAACAAATAAATACCTAAATAATTAAATAAAAGTTTTGGTAAAATTAGTGTAGATATACCTACCTACTGTTTGTTGTAATGGAAATAGTGAGAAAGTTGCATTTTTATTACCTACTGCTTTTATTGGGAAATGTTTCAAAACCCACTCGTGGGTGTTGCCGCGAATCACAACTGTAAATTATAAGTAACGGGCAAACCTAGATCATAGTAACTAGGCATGGGAATTTTTTTCGATATATCGATAGGTATCGATAGTTATCGATATATCGAATAACAATAGGTAGAGCTAAAAAAATCGATATATCGATATATCGATCGATAACGATAACTATCGATATATCGATACTTATCGATAAGTATCGATATATCGATACCTATCGATATGTCGATAACTATTGATATATCGATATGTCGATAACTATTGATATATCGATATGTCGATAACTATCGATATGTCGATAACTATCGATATGTCGATAACTATTGATATATCGATATGTCGATAACTATCGATATATCGATATGTCGATAACTATCGATATATCGATATGTCGATAACTATCGATATATCGATATGTCGATAACTGTACGATAAAATTATGTTATTGTTGAGATTTCAACGAGCGCTACTATTTTTATTAATAAAATCCATTTTCGGGTTTACTCTCGTGTAAATTTACTATTTTTAGTCGCTCGACGTTTCGGAAACTTAGCTTTGCTCCCTTTCTCAAGAGAAGCGCTACGTCACATCATCATCCATGCCAAATAAACGCAGTAATAAAATCTTTAGAAAATAGATCTTTTCGTCTTACTGACGATTGCTCAAAAAAAGAAGCACTTCAAAAACTTGAACAAAATGTTGCATCAAAATGGCTACTCTTTAGGTAAAATAAAGAAGACAATCAAAGGGTGTAATCATGGCCTATGTATCGGTATCTGACTGATGGTTACAGAGGACCAGTCACAAAAAAAACAGAAAAAGCTAAGAACACTTTAAATTTAGATATACAGTTTCAATTGATTGACATTTACGAAATCTAACAAAAAAACTCTTGATAAAGGTAGCAAAGAAACGTCGAGTAACTATTAATAGTCACTTTACACGAGAATAAACCGGAAAATGGATTTTATTAATAAAACTCGATAAGATAACTATCCCTGTCGATAACTATCGATACGTCGAATATTTCTCTCAAATGAGACGTGCAATTACCGCTTAATTACAGCGGTAATTGCATTGTAGAAAGCTAAAGAGCCCTGCGATAATTGCACAGTTAATATGGTAACTCCAATAAAGTTGCAAGAACTGCATTCGGTTATTTTCATATTTTGTTAAAAGAGCCCTCTTGTCTTGTCGGGCTCTTTCGCCAAAATATAAAAGTAAACTCATGCAGTTTTTAGACATGCTTTCAAAAAAATTATCGGTAATATTATATCGATACCTATATATTAAAAACTATCGCCATAACGAGAACTATCGATATACCGATACTTATCGATATAGCGGTAGTTATCGATCTTTCGATAGTTATCGGTGTATCTATAACCATCGATATTTCGATAATTATCGGCATATTGATAAGTAAAATATATCGATACTTATATCGATAGGTGAAAACAGTTATCGCCCATCCCTAGCGATAACTATCGACATATCGATATATCGATAACTATCGACATATCGATATATCGATACCTATCGATAGTAATCATTTATCGATAACTATCGATATATCGATAACTATCGATATATTGATAACTATCGAAATATCGATAACTATCGATATATCGATAACTTTATCGATATATCGATAACTATCGACATATCGATAACTATCGACATATCGATAACTATCGATATTTCGATAATTATCGACATATCGATAAGTAAAATATATCGATAGGTAAGTACCCGATACTTATCGATAGGTGAAAATAGTTATCGCCCATCCCTAATAGTAACTATCATTTAGCGAAAACCCGAAGTCTCTAAGTGGCACAGGGGCCGAGATCTCGATGGAACTGACATGACGACAGACAGGCAGACGAAGAAAAATCGAGCACATAAGGGTTACCCCTTATAGCAAAGTAATGCTATAAGATCATAGACTTCAGACCGTTTTCAATCACTCCATAGGGGCCTCATCCGGTTTGCTTACTTTCCCGGTTTGTAAATAAAGCCGTTGAGTGTTCGTTATTCAATGATACTTACAGCGGAAGATTCAAAGTGGAAAGAAAAAAACCGACACTCCAACAAAATTGGACACCCAAAATGAAGACGAAAAAGGGTAAATATAAAGCCTAGGTATGTAGGAGTATAACGGAACTTCCCTTGAGGACTGTAGGTACGCTAATGCAAGAAGCAAAAGCAACGCCTCATTGTCCTTTTAGATAAACGAAATTATCGCTGATTAGATAAGATTAATTATAGTTGAATAGCTTCAATGAACAGCCCTTTGACCCTTTCGGTACCTACCACCCACTGATCCCCAACAGTGTCACTCTCTGTTGTATAAATGTTGAATCCATATATTATATTCATAGATGGCGCCATATAGAAATATTATTTATCAATAAAATAAACAAATCTTATCTCTTTACTTTATTTGAATTTAATTAACGTGCGCGTCAATTAGAAAGTTATATACCTACCTAATTCAGAGAAATGAAATCTCAACGTTTACAGGTTTCTTTTGCAATCATTGATTACCTGTCATTTTCTACCACCTCCCTCCACCTTCAGTTCACGATTTTCTTTGTACACAAACAACAGATTTCGAAGAAATTAAGTTATTATTATCAGAAACGGTTATGTTTCAACGAATCAAGCAGCATTTCTAGAAACTAAAAATCGATGGTGTTAACGATTTAAAAAGTGGTCTTTGTCATCATTTTCACCTTTCAACATGCCACCTGCTGTTGCAACCACTGCTACCTCAGCGATGTTTTCGTGTTAATTGTGTTTGTAGCGCTACACTTAAGAAAGAATGGCTGTACATAACTTATCAAACGTGCCAGTGAGGAAGTACAAACGAGAAACGAGCGAAGTAAGCGGGTGCCTCAAGTACATGATCTTCGGCTTTAACGTGTTGTTTTGGGTATGTCGCTTTCGTTATGGCTTGCTTACAATATTCCGTTGTAGCTACTCGGTTTAGGAATCTTAACAATCGGCGTGTGGGCCTGGAGCGAGAAGGATATATTTAATAATCTGGGGCGAGTCGCAAATGTCGCCTTAGACCCCGCTTTCGTTCTTATATGCATAGGTATGCGGGTACTGTTTAAACGTGGTCCTTTCTATGTGCAATTTACAGGTTCCGTTACATTCATTATTGGATTTACCGGTTGTGTAGGGGCACTAAGGGAGAATACTTGCTTACTGGCAGCTGTAAGTGTAATTGAATTAATAATCTTGATTGCAGTCTCAATATTTTAGTACGCTATTTTTTTATCAATCTTGTTATTGCTGGAAATGACAGCTGGCATTCTTGGCTTCGTTTTCAAGGACTGGGTAAGTAGCTACCGATAATCAAAGATTCATTAACACAAATTACTGTTACTTTCCCATTTTGTGGTATGTAATAATGTTTTTGTAGATCAAATCTCAAGCAACTGCTGGCTTTCAAACTTTTATAATTCATTATCGCGAAGATCCGGACCAGCAAAACTTAATTGACTGGATTCAAGAGGATTGGGTATGTACAATGCCACCTTTCTTCAATATTTAGGGTTTTAAAAAATTAGACAGCGAAGGAGACCAAAACAAGTACCTAATAATTTTGCCAAGTAACCCAAAGCCCAAAGGTTTTTTTATTTATTTATTATCTCTCTCTTGTTCTGGGCCCTCAACAGGCTTGCGCCCAATTACAGAGTGACTCGCATAATGTTTTGTTTCCTACATTGCATTCAATATGTTATAATAATAACGAGAATAATAATAATAGAGATTTATTACCCAACAGAACAGAACATTCCAATTACAGGACAATACATAATTAATAGACGCGCAATTATTTAGTGTAATAAGAAAAAAGAAAAAGAAAGAAACACAAGAAAAACTCAAAATCTTAACAGAACTAAACAATAACAAAATAATTAAATTCATATCTAAAAAAAAACAAAATTATAATGTGTATTCAATCCAAAATGTATAGGGACATGTATTGTATATTCACTTCAGAGAAATATTTCCTCGAATATTTCATATATCCTACTATAGAAAGGAGGTAATGTGGGGAATTTAGTGTTCTTTGTGAGGGTTGTTTAGCAACTGAAAATAATAACAAGAATTTTAATTTTCATAACATCACTATTTTTTAAATATTGTTAAAATATTCTTTTTGCCTGGCCAACTTTGTCTTGGGTAGTGTATGTTCGTAGTTTCTTCCGTTTTTACGAATTAATAGCCCCATTTCTTATCAAGAATGTACATTTTTGAAATCAGGAAAAAATGCTCTATCAAATGACAAATAGTAAAAATGACTTCCATAAGAAAAAACAAAGTTGATGATTGTTAACGAGAGACGAAACGTCAGACTTAAAATTTAAAACTCATCTTGCAGAGGGAAAAGAGTGGCCATAATAATGAGTGTGAAATATCTTTTTAAATAACTTCGGTAAAAAATAAAAACGGTTTTGCAAAATTTCGTTTTTACAGGATATCTCCGAAAGTAGACGGAATTTTTTCAGTTTCAAAACTGCCTTTTGTTAAGCATCAAAATACGCAACTTTGCCAAATTTGAACTACCTATCTCTTACAGTTTCCGAGGTGCCTATGGTGGCCCTAGAATTTGAAACGGCCTGTCAACTTATTAAAATTACATGATTATTAAAGCATATTTATCTTTCCATTGCTTTGTTACTTCGAGTTGAACTGAAGTTAGTTTTGTCGAGCCGGGCTGGACATCTATGGTTTCCAAGTTTCAAAAAAGCTTGACTCAGCTCAATTCCATTCCTAGTTTAATTTCTTTATGTTGCAAGGCTATCGACCCAATAGTCTGAAAAACCAATTTGACAGCTTGCAAAGAAGTGAGCTAATATCAGAGTAGTCGAAGCACCTCGAAATTGTTCAGCTTTTGAGTCAAAAATCAGAAAAAGACGCACACAACGGAAAAGTGAGGCAGATTTTTTTAGGCAGTTTATCAAAAAAATAATATTTTTGTTTGACCTTCGCCAAATGTCAAATTTTTTTTAAAATTTCAAATCGCACCCCTAAACAAATTATTGCATCTCCATAGGTGCGGTCATACGCAACTTAACTTTTTTTAAGTAAGAAAACCCCATTCTTTCTCTATGCACTGGTAAAAATGGATTGACATAACTGCAACCGTTTTCAAGAAATCAATTTTCAAGGTACCTTTTTCATCCGCCATTTTTTTTAAAGTCAAAATAACTTAAAAGCTATAAATTGTAGATATTGACATGTGGGTGTCAAAAGAACTGAAAATTCACGTAGAATCCAAAAATTCAACAAAAAGCAGGGGTTGCCACCTCAAATAACGAAGTTAATAGATACTTCCGGTATTTTCGGAAGTGCCACCATTTTGAAAATATTTGACAGCGATCCTCTATACGAATTTTCAAAAACCGACCTACTTCACTTTCACAGAAACTGTTACCTAAAGCTGCTAAGAAATCAACTTGTATTGTGTGTAATTGTACTTGTGTAAGGAACTTTAAATTTAACCAATTGTGTAACTTTGTTTTTTTAATACAAGCTACTTGATTTAAATCATCTTCGTCGTGAAATTAAAAAAAATTATCTACGCCATCTTCAACTTTTTATTGTTTTTTTTTAAGTTTTTTTGAATTTTTTTATTTATTTTATAAGCAATTCCAAGATAGTAAAACAGTAATCAGTAAAGTAACTATTCTTTATCATTGCAGTTGCAATGTTGTGGAATAGAGGGACCAAAGGACTGGGACAGAAACAACTATTTTAACTGTTCCTCTCGCGACATCGGTAGTCGCGAAGCGTGCGGTGTTCCATTTTCTTGTTGTAAACGTAAATCTAACGTAAGTTGAGTTAACTAGCAGTAATGGAAATGTAACGTGTTTCTTTTAGGAAGTTATAAAAAACAAACAATGCGGGTACGACGTGCGGAAACCTGGTTTTGTAAGTACGATTTAAATTTGCTTTTAACTAACTTGGTGCTTTGCAAATCTATTATTTTAACAATCTGAGGCATTGGATCAGTGTAATTCTAATCTGCTTATTGAAAAAAATCCATAAATTAGTACCACTCCTTCGTTATTTTACCCCTCTTTTTGCATATGTCCCAGTCCCTACAGGAAAATTAAGAAACTTCAATTTGCACTTGCATATTATGTAACGTGACAACCGCTCAATTTAAAATATAACATCTACCTGTATGTAATGTGCATTACTAACATTAAATTTTACTAACAACAGCCTGGTGAACGGCACATTTTCGAACGTGGCTGTCTAAGGGCCGGGGAGGAGTGGATTGAAAGTAATCTTGTGCCGGTGGCAGGTGTCACTGTAGGGATAATGGTTTTACAGGTACCTACTCTGTTACGGCAATAAACCTTTCAACAATTGCTTTGCTTTGCATGTTTAGTTTGCACCCGTCTTGCGTTTTGTGTTTCTAAGTTTTCAGTGTCCACATTTCAGAATTTTGATGTCTCGAAAATTATTTACGAAAAAGGTTGCATTCAGTCAGTAGAGGAATGGATAGAAAGGAACATGATTTCCTTAACAACGTGTGCTATTTTTATTTTATTTGCTCAGGTATGCTTTTTTTCATTATTTTGTGAATTGAGTATAATTGAAGAAAGTGAGTTCAAACTTCAGCTTAAGTAAACAGGTTACTTAATCGTAGTTTAACTAAACTGAAATTTAAACAGACTGAGCGGTAGTGCATGACTGTTGATGCTCCCCTCATCGAGTCTTGTACTGTAATTGAATTTCTAAATCTCTTTCCAGATTTTGGGAATATGTTTTGCTCAAAATTTAAGAGCTGACATATTTGCACAGAAAGCAAAGTGGCACTGACAATCAAGAACTCCCGTAGCTGTGTAGTACAATTTTCGTTGTCGCATAGCTTGGGACTCGACTTCTTTTAACCGCATTGATGTTGTTTAAACGTTTATTTCGTATAATGTTAATAATTGACATGTACATATATGTATAGTGTTAATACTTGTATAAAAAAAAGCGCTGCTATAAATAATATATTTCTATATTATGTCTTCGTGACTAAAAGAAAATCTATTTATTAATTCCAAGATTTTTCCATTGTAAATTTAAGAGAAATTTTTATCAACTTGTATCAATGGGCGTATTTGTTCATCACTCTTGTTCCAGTAACAGTTCAGGCAAACGATCTCTCTGTTTTATACACTATTTTAGTTGTTCGCGTCCTCGACCTAGTATTTGAGTAAACAACAAACACGCCCAAAAACTTTGTTCATTTTGTAACTGACTAGTTTGTAACTATTGTTGTAATAATTGTACTTGGTAGTTTGTGAAGCCAATAGTTTTGTATGAACAAACTTGACTCCTGATATTGTTAATACATTCCATTACACACGTCTTTGTATTGATGAAACAATTTTCATTATAACGTGTGATTAGATTATTTATAAAACTAGAATAAACTAACATGTGATATTTTTAATTTAATGAAAATATGGATCCTCATAATGCTGTATTGAGTTACTAACTGCCAATTTCATTTTAAATAAGTTTGTTTAAGGATCTGCCAATTTACTTTTACTTTGTGAACAATAGATCCTACGCAATTAAAAAAAAACCTATTAATTTGTTACATTGTCAAATGGTACAAAATAAAGAAAAACTTTACATTTTGGGTGTTCTTCTGACTAAGTTTCCGTGCCAATTTTTGCTAATGCCATAATGTGAGCTTAATCTTTGTAGTGTCGGTAAGTCAGTCAAATATCAATAGTGAAACGAATTCCGACCAATCAACACTTCTTTTTGATCTACTGATCAGTTGCGCGGACAATAGGCGAATCGCGCGGCTTAAAAACCGCCAATAATGTGAAAGCAGTCTTAAGGTGACATTTTGCCTCATCATAAAATTCAATTTTCCAGTTACCACCCTGTATATGCAGTATTTAATTTTCCTCGTCTGAAACTTATACGGTTTTTTGTTCAATAAAAGTATATATACTTTTCGCTTTGCGAAAATGTGAACGCGCTTGTAACAAGCGTACACAATATAAGATTTCGAGTATTAATGTTGGAATACCATGTGTGTTTGTAATTTTATTGTTGATATACACACGCTTTAATAAACATATATTAGGCACAATTTTTCATTATCTACAATTTGGCTCGGCTAACTGTTGAAGAGTGATAGCAAAACACTCAGTCTAAACACAACAACTTTTAATCTATATATACACTGCGTTCGAGATAAGAGGGTTACCCTCTTATTTGGCGAAATAAGAACAATTTGTATAAGTTTATATGTGATATATGATCTATTCGTTCCCACATTGAAACTTCCGGTATCGCTTCTGGCTTAACTGGTCATCAATGCAACTAAGGGTAACCGAGTGCGGATAGAGGTTCGTCACACGTCTGCTGCTGCTGTTATACAGGGTGCCACATGACCACATGTAAAAAAAAATTGGGTGATAGAGGGGATCAAGACAAGCACTTTTTCCAAATAAACCGAGGATCCAACATGCCTATTTTTGAGGGCCGAAAAAAAAATTGTCTCAGATAGACCGGGAAAAAAAATTTTCTTATATAATGTGCCCTGTAGAATCCATAATTTCAAACAGTTTGAAAATTGGGCTACTAGTTCAAAAGTTACAGCCCTTTGAATTTTCTTTCGCAATTGGTTTCTGGTCTATAACTTTTGATTGAGAAGTCTAATCGAAAAAGTACGAATTGTTTTGGATTCTACGCCCCAAAATTAATAAGAAAAAGTGTTTTCTCGAGAAATTTTGGTGTAGTTGATTTTTGGTAAAAAAGGAAGGTTTTACACTGCCTTTTTTTGAGACCCGAAAAAAAATTGTCTCAGATCGACCGGGAAAACAAATTTTCTTATAGAAGGTGCCCTGTAGAATCCATAATTTCAAACAGTTTGAAGATTGGGCTACTAGTTCAAAAGTTACAGCCCTTTGAATTTTCTTTCGCAATTGGTTTCTAGTCTATAACTTTTGATTGAGAAGTCTAATCGAAAAAGTACGAATTGTTTTGGATTCTACGCCCCAAAATTAATAAGAAAAAGTGTTTTCCCGAGAAATTTTGGTGTAGTCGATTTTTGGTAAAAAAGGAAGGTTATACACTGCCTTTTTTTGAGCCCGAAAAAAAAATTGTCTCAGATCGACCGGAAAAAAATTTTCTTATAGAATGTGGCCTGTAGAATCCATAATTTCAAACAGTTCCAAGATTGGGCTACTAGTTCAAAAGTTACAGCCCTTTGAATTTTCTTTCGAAATTGGTTTCTAGTCTATAACTTTTGATTGAGAAGTCTGATCGAAAAAGTACGAATTGTTTTGGATTCTACGCACCAAAATTAATAAGAAAAAGTGTTTTCCCGAGAAATTTTGGTGTAGTCGATTTTTGGTAAAAAAGGAAGGTTATACACTGCCTTTTTTTGATGCCCGAAGAAAAAATTGCCTCAGATCGACCGGAAAAAAATTTTCTTATAGAATGTGGCCTGTAGAATCCATAATTTCAAACAGTTCGAAGATTGGGCTACTAGTTCAAAAGTTACAGCCCTTTGAATTTTCTTACGAAATTGGTTTCTAGTTTATAACTTTTGATTGAGACGTCTAATCGAAAAAGTACGAATTGTTTTGGATTCTACGCCCCAAAATTAATAAAAAAAAGTGTTTTCTCGAGAAATTTTGGTGTAGTTGATTTTTGGTAAAAAAGGAAGGTTTTACACTGCCTTTTTTTGAGACCCGAAAAAAAATTGTCTCAGATCGACCGGGAAAACAAATTTTCTTATAGAAGGTGCCCTGTAGAATCCATAATTTCAAACAGTTTGAAGATTGGGCTACTAGTTCAAAAGTTACAGCCCTTTGAATTTTCTTTCGCAATTGGTTTCTGGTCTATAACCTTTGATTGAGAAGTCTAATCGAAAAAGTACGAATTGTTTTGGATTCTACGCCCCAAAATTGATAAGAAAAAATGTTTTCCTGGGAAATTTTGGTGTAGTCGATTTTTGGTAAAAAAGAAAGGGTATACACTGCCGTGTTTTGAGCGCCGAACAAAAAATTGGCTCAGATTGGGCTACTAGTTCAAAAGTTACAGCCCTTTGAATTTTCCTTCGAAATTGGTTTCTAGTCTATAACTTCTGATTGAGAGGTCTAATCGAAAAAGTACGAATTGTTTGGGATTCTACGCCTCAAAATTAATAAGAAAAAGTGTTTTCCCGGGAAATTTTGGTGTAGTTGTTTTTGGTAAAAAGGGCAGGTTATACACTGCCTTTTTTTGAGCGCCGAACAAAAAATTGCCTCAGATCGACCGGGAAAAAAATTTTTCTTATAGAATGTGGCCTGTAGAATCCATAATTTCAAACAGTTCCAAGATTGGGCTACTAGTTCAAAAGTTACAGCCCTTTGAATTTTCTTTCGAAATTGGTTTCTAGTCTATAACTTTTGATTGAGAAGTCTAATCGAAAAAGTACGAATTGTTTTGGATTCTACGCCCCAAAATTAATAAGAAACGCGAGAATCGCGATTAAATTTGACAGTTAAATACTTAAATCATGTCAATATCAATTTTACCTGGGTGTAAAGTGGGCTCAGCGCGAGCCAATCGAAACTAAGATTTTTTGCGGGAACTTTTAAATCTGTCTTCCTAGTTAAAAAACAGAGTATACCTTAAAAAGCGACCAGAAAATGTTGAATAGACTGAACAAATTGAAGCGACCAAACAACGTTAAAAAACTAACAAATTATTCAGACACGAAAAGATATGGAGGATTTGAAGTTAAATGAAAGTGTGACTTGAAGGAAGGACCTGAGAAATTGGAAGAAATTAAATAATGCGAAAAACAAAGTTGAAAAATCATTACAAGGATTTGAAGAGCCTAAAAAACTGATCGCAAGAGTTTCAATCAGACGCGTGTGATGAAATACTTTTAAAAATGTGAAAGGGGATGGATCGAACAAATCCGTTGACCTTAAGGATCAGGTGAAGTTTTTAGGTAGGTCATCATCAAGGAGTTGCCAAAGACGATGCCAATATTCTCTCATTGAGCCTTTGATTGTGTTTTTTTTACTATTTCCCGAGCTATTTCCCCTGTCTGTTAATTAAATAATGTCCAATGTTGTACAAATGGTTTAATTAAATTATACGAAACTGAGACATTGGAAATTGACAAAGGTACTTTGGTAATCTTTACATTTAGGTATAAATGCTTAACACTAGTATAAAAATAGCATGCGTTTCATGATATCAAAAAAGACTGTGGATAAAAATTTAAAATACTTTAATTATAATACGTCTTTAAAATAAAATAACTTACGTAAGAGAAATTCGTTTACATTATCACATAAAATGAATTAAGTACCTACCAATAAATAAATACAAACTATGAGTAAAACGTCAGGACCGACTGTTGGTTGCCCCTGATTAGTAAATAAGGTGGAAGATCTTTCGTTAAAGCTTCCAACCAGGCCATATATAAAGGGGGTGGAACGGATCCCTTCCGGGGCATCGGAAGTGACCTAAAAAATTGTGTTATTGTTTACGAAGACCAGATTGATTATACTCACATCACTACTAAATTGGCTTCACACGAATTTTCTAACAGCAGTTCCCTTAATCTCAAGTGCCTGTTAGTTTTTTCTTGGAGCGTCGCCAATTCAATATCCGTGATTTGGTACTCTAAATTGCAAAAATAGAATTTAATTACTTTCATAACCGCAAAACTAATTTAAAACTTATTACGCACCACTTCCGTTATCCCTGTAATCTTCTATAATCGTATCAAAGAACTCTACAGTCTTTGGTTTTGGTTTATCAGAAAGCTGTACCATTTGTAAACTGGAATAGTCTAAGCGAAACTTCGATAGCAAATTAGCCATACTGAAAGTGTAACAAATGCGGATTTGATTTGCGTGCATGCAAGACGGTGACTTACTTTCGCTCTTCCAGTTCTAATTCTTGCTTATTATTCGCTAATGCAAACACCCGTAATTTGCAATTTGACCAGCCTTGTCGTGTGGAGATGATATACGGTAAAAGCATAGTAAGCCCTCCGTCATCGTATAACCACCAAACGTCAATGGTGCCTTTACTTTGTTTCTTTTTGAATATAGTCATTGTATCAAAAACTGCTTTAGGTAATTGTTGCCCTGTGGGAGACGTGAACAAGATCTTTTCCGCGAGACCTTTCTTTTTGTTTTTAATGTTCTTGTTTAAAAGCGTGCTTCCGTTTTTAGCGGGGGCAACTAAGTCTAAAATGATCATTTTATTGGCTGTTAGAAAAGACTAGCGCTTACTAATGCTCGGATATGAAGAGGAGACTATACTTTCTGAGACGTCGATGTGTGAAATATCCAAGTTAGAATCAGCGTGCATCATCGCTCTGGATATATTTGGGAAAGCATGAGTTGAGGGGTGTTGAGACAGGGTTAGATCAGCATTGGGGGTTGTCGCGTTCTCGTCTTCTTCCAATATTCTGCTGTAATCGAGGCCGTCTGGAAGGCGCAAGATTGCTACGGCTAGTCGATTTTCAAAGGCGTTACTAAAAGCTTTCGTTAATTGAGGTTGAGTGTTTTGAAGAGGTAGTTACTGTAAAACGTTGAAGTAGGCGTTGAGCTGGTCTGTGTTGCACACTTTCCAGTCGTTTTTAAATCCCATCATCAGAACGTTGGGAATCAATTTTCCAATGCCCGTTGTTTGTAGCAAAGCTGTTGCTCCTGTTTCAAAGTCCATACCATCAACCAGGCAGTAAAAGGCCTTGACCTTTTGCTCTCTTAGGCATTGATATGCCGCTTTGGTTCTACTTGCCCGTGCACGATAACTTAATCGGTTCTGAAATACATAAACGTTTTTACCAAATTGCCTACACGCTTTGCAACATGCACAATTTTAGAGGGTAATAAAACTGAACTAATTGCAAAGTATATTTTTAGAAATAATTGCTTAACTACCCACATATTTTATAAATAATATTTCAAAATCGGACAGCACAATACAAAATTACTAAATACATACCTCGGCGATTTCTGCGATGATCAATAAAGAATTATTTTTAGTAATCAAATTGGCAAAATCAAGTAAGGGCGGTCGGGCCTGTGGTTTTCCACACAATAACAATATTTGAGGCTGATAATTTTTGACGTGTTCACCGATATTAATCAGACGGTGGGACGTCGTTAGCGCAGTTTTGTAAGTCTGAGCTTGAGTGGAGGATCCCCAGTTTACATCTAAAAATGCCATTATATTAATAAAACATTTGTTTACCTTCGTACTAACCTGGTTTTCTGTATACAACGATGAGATAGAGGGTGAGAATTACGATGAACGTAATAAGAGACGAAAGCCAGTTGATGAGAAACATGATCACGACGCACATAAGGAACCCTGCCAAGCTTAGCCATGTGTTGTAATACTATAGAAATGGTGTAATTAAACATTCTTGTAAAAAAGATTTAGCTTACTCGAAATGTCGGTCTCCATCCCAATGGTTTTATTAAAGCCGCGTGAAAGGTACAGAAATTTATTAAGGCGTACGACGCTAAATAGAAGTTCGATATTAAGGGCGCTATAGCATTCAAATCGGCTATAACAAAAAAGGATTATTAAATACGCAAGTAATTGAATCGCGAGTCTACTTACCAATTAATATAAAAGCTGCTGCTACAAAAAACGTTAATACATATCCACGATAGGGTTCTCCAGCTTTGCCGTATCCTTTAGAAAAGAAAATTAAGCCGGGATAAATCCTGTCAATTCCTAAGGCCTGGATAAGTCGAGGAACTGATAGTAAATTTGTAAGAGCTGTACTTAAAGTGGCGGCGAAGCAGCCTGCGTAAATGAATGGACCCCAACCTGACATTAATTGCATGACCTATAAAAATAATATAAATCAATACGTACATTTTTATTCAACTATCCTAGGAGGTTGTTTCTTGGGTAAAACGGCTCTTTTTGGACGCGAAACGGATGCACTTTTTAAAGCACGAAAGCGAACAGTGCCCTTCGCCTTTACTGACTTTATCAAAATAGTTCGAGAACTTTGACGTCGCATTTTTTGCACAATTTTGACCAACAAAAGACGTCTCCACGATTTTTGTTATTGAAATTGAGTCGAATTTGGGGAATCGATGTGGAGGAGAAAGGTAACACGTGTGCTAGCTGAGTAGTGGTCGAAAAATCTCCACTTTTCCAGACTTTTTTCAATTTTTCGTAAATATTGCACGAAAAATCGTCTATGAAGAGGATAAAACTTCCTACAATGTGCGATCAAAAATAGCTCTGTAGCTCCAGCAGCTTTCGAGATACAGCCTTTCAAACATTAAGTAAATATTTTTTCCAAAAATTGTCTAAACTCATAATTAGAATATGGGCTTCTATACTCATCCCGGGGAATTTTTTTGTGTACTCTTTGGGGCCGAGTACTTTAATTTCCGAGTCAAGTAATGTCATTTTACTGACGAGTTTTTTCTAGAGTTCTGTATCAAATTCCACCCGAAATCATATTTTAATATAAAATTTCAATTTTTATATACAGGGTGGCCATTTGAAAACGAAACAGAGCCTATTTTGGGGACCTCAAAACATTTATGAAAAAATCCTCGGACCCGTCAATTTTTGATTTAAGGGGGAACCATTTTTTTGCTAGTTTCGCCTCCCTGAGGGCAAAGCCATAGCGGGGGTGACAAGCGCCCCCAAAATTTTAAATCGAATGGGGGGTCGAGTGATACCTTTCGACTTCCATTCAATAATACAGGTTTTGTTCGAACCTTTTCCGTACATTTTGAAAAACTTCTGGTGTAATTTGACGACATTCATCAATTATTCTTTGTCGCAAGTTGGCTGACTACCATAAATTGTAGTTTGGCCTCGTAAAAAAAAATCTAACGGACTTAAGTCCGGGGAATGAGGAGGCCATTCAATAGCTCCTCTTCTTCGAATCCATTGTCCTGGAAACGTTTGGTCCAAATATTGACGAACCCTTACAGCATAATGAAGTGGCGCACCATCTTGCTGAAATACTAGGCGATTTTCCAAGTACTCGTTATTTTCTAGTATAATACTCGATGAATCATATTTTCTAATAACTCCAGGTACATTCCTCCTGTTAAATTGCCAGGTAAAAAGAAGGGGCCTACGATATGGTTACCAAAAATGCCAGCCCAAACATTCAATTTTTCAGGATTTTGTGTACATGCACCTCACGAACTATTCTGGGATTTGAATCAGCCCAATAGCGACAGTTGTGACGATTCACAGTACCGTTTAGGAAAAAGAACGAGTACGAGATGTATTTTGTACGGATGGAACTTGTGTTTTTTTAAATATCTTCTGAATGCTGTTTCTAGTAATACCAGACACGATTGACAATTTCCTTGTGCTCAGTGTGGGATCTTGCACAATATGGCCTGAAATATCCACTTCTGAAGCTTCATTTACTACTGGGTTATCCATTTCACGTTTTTTATTAACCACAGACCCAGTTTCCCTAAATTTTTGAACCAATTCCAAAATGTACTTACGACGGACCTGTCGATTCTGGTGTTGTAGATTAAACAGAAATTATTTCAAATCTTTCAGCAATAAACCATTATCACTGTTCAATGTACGGATTTTGCAACTAAATAACGACTATGATCTGACAACAGTAATTGACAATCACTATTAAACTTCAAAATGCTGCTCTATAATACCTACGAGACACGAGTATTAAAAAGAAAAAAAAACAACAAGTACGGTTCAGAATGTAGGAGAACAACATTTTTGGTATTTATTGTTGTCTTTATTTTTGTTATTTAACTCATTCATTTACAAGCATTTTTTTTCATAAGAAAATGTTGCCACGTTTTTGTAACTTTTATTAGCCCCTGTATCGGCTAGGCAAATTAGTAGCGATTTAAAACGTAAGGGTCCACATACATACCTACCCCCATTCGATTTAAAATTTTGGGGGCGCTTGTCACCCCCGCTAGAACTTTGCCCTCAAGGGGGCGAAACTAGCAAAAAAATGGTTCCCCCTTGAATAAAAAATTGACGGGTCCGAGGATTTCTTCGTAGATGTTTTGAGGTCCCCAAAATAGGCACTGTTTCGTTTTCAAATGGCCACCCTGTATAACTTTAGATTAATGCCAATCTGTCAGTGATGACAGGAGTCATTTAAGACATTTATCGTGTCACAGAGACACATTACACATCACACACATTACACATTACTGGCGAGGAAAATGTCATTTTACTGACAAGTTTTGTATTACATTTTACCCAAAATCGTATTTCAAAATTATCCTGCAAAGAAATCTTATATGTCAAAAAAATCTACTAATTCGAAGTGCGATTTGGTATTCCTAATCCCTTCACGAATATCGTTCTCTTCATCGCACGAAAACGTTCCTCTCCACCCCTCATTCCGCTGAGAAAATAGCATGAAAAGTTGACGACAAATACAAAACGTTTTTCCGAAGGCCCTAGGTTGTAGTGAGGGTTAATTCTGGGTCAATTTTTAAACGGGAAAGGTGGCAAGTCACGTAAAGTTTTAAATGATCAGATTGGTCCTCAACAATGAATAATAGAAGATAAAAAAATGAGATTAAATTTCGCATCAGGTGGTCAAGAATTAATTCGTAGAATGAAATCATTATCTTCAAGTCTGCCTACGATGGAAGAGAATTACTGTTCATATTTTTGAAATTCGGGGTTGCAAATGTAAAGAAGTTATATCTAGTTTAATGTGCACGCACTAAATTAAACCATTAAACGCAAAATTGTCTCCTATATTGAAAAGCACTTAAAATACTCTATTTTTGGAAATTGCGTAACCCTAAACTTACGAGCAATTAATGGTCGAGCCATAAACGCACCGTATACACAATTAGTAACCAATTAAGTTAGATTGTATCAAAACGAGACAAAGACAACCTTGCCTTTAATAGATAAAATGGTATTTAATATGATATATCTACGTACTTCCATCACGCGAAATACCTTTTAGTCAACGCAAATAAATGGTACACCTAATCTCTGCAAAAAAGGTGAATATGTACCTAGTCGTTACCGACTTACCGAATAACTGTTGAAAAGTCCATAGTGGCAGCTTAAATCGGAAACACACTGTGTTAATGTATTGTTGGCCAAATCAGCCAAACTTCCACTTGCATCTCTCATTGCTGCTGCTCCAGCAAAGAAAACGAACGTGACGTATGAAATCATAGAAATTAATAACGCCAAGAGGGTTCCTTTTGGAATGGATGACGCCGGATCCTAAAATTGATAATTAATTTCCAAACTCGTTAAACGCATATAATTACTTTTAAATCTCCAGAGATATTAGCACCAGCTTGAATCCCAGTAACCGAAGGGAAAAAGACCGCAAATACTTGGAAAAAGTTATAACTCACGTTCTCTTGCTTCCTATACATTGGACCCCAATTATCCTTTAAAACTTCAACTGAAACAGATTATATTGCGTATAAATCGAATTGAATTCAATGTTTTCGAGGTTTTATGTTGTCGAAATTGTGCGCAGTTCGTTTCAGTTCGCCCTTGTTGGAAACCGCAATTCAACCACCCTCGTGCCTCCACAGTATTTATCTTTTCAGTACTCAAATTCGCTTGATTGGTAACTTTGTCCATTAATTCAAAATTTATTAGAGCCCGTAGTAGAAGAGGCGCACAACTAATATGGGTCAACTAATAAATTGTGCGCAATTAATACGATATGAAGATTTATGACTTGTTGCTAGTTACTCACTAGAAACATATCTGAATGGGGTCAATTAAGTAATTGGGTTACTAGTAATCTACGTTGGAAATGTGAAAAAATCAATGTTGGTGTACTTAACCAAGAAATTGTGCTCCAATTATGGAGATATACAAGCCAACCATGCAATTATGTGGAATGCTATAAAATTGACCGTTTCAAGAGTAATGGTCTATGAAATTTCAAGCGTCGTTACTCACAGGCTACACTTTTACTGGATATGCGACTTACCTACGTGCAAGTGAGATTTAATGCTATAGAAGGGCATAATTTTAAATTATGCCAAAATCTGCTTGACTCTACATTCAGTAAACATTTTTCTCACACCTCCGTTTTACATTTAACTCTAATTTTTTTATTTCAAATTAAATTCGCATCGCTCGCCTTGGACGCCTGAAATTAACTCAGAGTAACGAGCTTAATCGCCGATTTAATTTGTAAAAATGGAAAACTAATTAAGAGTATATTACGCTTCATGCAAATTTCAGTAAATTAAAATCTGTACTGAGCCGAATGATTCCCTGATTATTAGATATAGAGATTAAAAGTATTGATTGAGCTGAAGCATCTTTTCAGTTGTAAAAAGTATAAATTTCGCGGTTACGGTTTAAAGTTTAGGTTATTGAATTAATGGGTTGAACTGCGTTCCCAAAAAATCAGTATTCGTTTTGCAAGAATGACGGGCAAATTATTGTCTAAATTAAAAAATGTATCAAACGCATACTTTGGTGGACCGTGACAGTAGGATCCACTGATATCGTACATCGCTAGTGAAAGATTTTCAATAGCTGCCCACTCGGGGAGTATACAGGGTGTGCCTAAATATGATGTAACCGGATATGTTACAAACTATTGCATTATGAAAACTTCAAAATCAAAAATTAAGTTTTTTTCATATTTATGAAACTATGGGGCCTATACGCGACCGGAAAATGTACCAAAACCGATAAAAAAAAAAATTTTGATTATCCATGCAGTGCCCAAGATAAGGATGCCTACGGGTTTCTCAGAAACCATAGAACTTAAGGCGATGGTTCTATTAGGGAAAAGTTGTGCAATTACACAATCATTATCATGTTGTAAAGAAAATCAGGAAATTCTGACTATTTCCGAAGATGCCAGAAAAACCGAAATTTGCCAGATTTTGTTTTTATTTTTTTCTGGCGTTGTAGCATTGTTTATTAGGAATCAACGATGTGCCGGATTAACCATTAGGCAGAGTAGGCAACGGCCTGGGGGCCCTGCGAAAAAAAAAGCTTTCTAATGACGTATAAGATGACATACTTAAGTAATAAGTTGCCATTAAAAAAAAATCAAAACGGCGGTCGCACTCAAAACTCAGTGGGATAAGCCCTTGTCCAAACAATGTACGATCAAAAATCAACTACCTATCAAGATTATTTATTGTAAACGTTAACATTAACGTCTGATGGAAGAGTTCCAGACTCACTCATGATATAAGCAAAGAGAAATTGAAATCAAAAGCAAAATTTTTAACGTACAAATTTTCTTGACGTTCAGATTTTCTGCTTTCTCTGGCGTCGAAAACTATGCTACTTCAATTGAAATTTTAAAAAAATGCATCAATTTTATTTTTTGTTTTTAGCAGTAGGTATAGAAGTTGTATTTAATACTTGGCTAACGGCCATTAACATACTCACGCTCTTACAATAGCTCGGGCTAACGCCCTCGTATGCGCAATTGTCGCATTCGTAAGTTAATGAGGCCGTTATCACACTGATTAAATAAATAAATATTACACACCTCGTTTGTGGAATAATTGCAAATCGAAACGTTGTAATTTTCTTGTCTATATCTCAAACGGTTTGAGCATGAGAGCTTTGGCCCCATCTTTAATAGCAACCCTGTATAATTGCATTGTGTATTTTCAAAAGTAAGAAAGAAAATGGTTTTTACTTTTTGTATTGAGAGTAACATTCGCAACTTTCCGGACGGCATCATTTTGGGGATAATTCTTGCAAAAAACCACGTAAAAAATAGCAACGTAAACGTTTCCCCTTACTTTTCTCATATGTAGGTAGGTACATAAACAAATATCATTTTTTTGTTAACAGCTTCTTATTGACAACGTTAATATCAACTTACAATTCTCACTGGAATTCACTGGAATTCTTTTTGAAAGTTACTGGAATTCAATGGAATTCTTTGGAAGTCAACGAAATTATTTTGCAGTTTTGGAAGTCTTAATCTTCCTTTCTCGATTTTGTAAAAAATTTCTCGACGAAACCCGGAGTTTTTTTCTTTGTCGCACCTCGGCTTAGGGGCGTGCTCTTTTGAAGTATAAATTTTGGAAAAATATTTACAAAATCAGAAAGAGCATATTCAAAGAAAATTAAAGAAGAAACGCAAGTATGTTTGGAAAAAATGTTTTGGTCCCTTCTACCTCTCATTTTTTAGTTAATTTTCAACTTATTATGGCTCCTTTTTCCGTCCGTCCGTTCGAAGCTTTAACTACTCAAACACTATTCAAAATGTTTTGCGCAATGCCAACTTTCTTATTTATGGAAATTTTTTTTAGAAATTTTAACCACAGATGCTTCTATAGTCCCTCTCACCTTGACTTTACAGTACAATGTCTTTTGCTCAACAATGATGCCAAACGAATATGATTTGTAGAAAATGAACAGCCTGGCTTCGATTCCTGGCGGATGCAGAATTTTTATAAATTTTATATACAGAGTGGCCCAACGAGAAGTATACAGAGGGCTTTTAGAGTATTAAATTTAGAAATTTCGAAAAATCCTCGAACACGTCAATTTTGTATTCGAGGGGGACAACTTTTGGAATACAAATCATGAACCCAAGTTTTCACCCCTGTACGTAGGGAGCTTAACCCCTAAAATTTTAAATGGAAGCCTAGGCAAATGGCACATTATTTGAAAGCCAATTTAATTGTGATTACTAATCTGTTTTGCTTTTTAAATTCTATTGATTCGTTTCGGAGATATTCGCATTTGAAATGGTTTTTTCCCCTAATTTAAGTCCTTTAGATTATTTCTTGTGGGGATATTTAAAGAATAAAGTCATGTTTATTATTTATGAAAACCATTCGTAAAGTTTAAAGTGAGGAGACTGTTCCAGCAATACATGGCATCGTAATATCCATAGTGAAATCACAGGATTACAACAGTGCATGTTCATTTTTAGGGATTTACATGACGTTAATTTAGGACGCTGTAGAAATGGTAGCAAACTGAAATTGCACCAACTGATTTTTTGGAAAGATTTAATTTTTTTCTCGGTTTCTATCTGAAATTATTTAGGATGCGATTGTAGTTAATTATTTATCGTATCTATCAGTGTGCGCAATTTCAGTTTTCTAACATTTCTAGGACGTGGGAAAACATAGGGGTCCCAAATTAATATGTAAATCGCTAAGGGTAAAACTAAAAAGACAGGCACGGTATAATCGGCACACAGATAGACCATGACTTAGGAGAGAAGTAATTAAATTTTGGGCTTCGTCGGTTAATCCCCTTTCATAATATAACCGTGAAATCACATTTCTCTGCAAAATATGCCACTATCGTTTAAATAATGTTCCGGCGAATTAATTTTGAAAAACACTCGGATGTGTAACTTTAGGTTGAAGGGGCCATATTTTACAATAAACTTCATTCGCTACTTTTTCATTCCTTAGAGGTGTGGTTCCAGGGCCTATAATTTTCAATGACAGTGACTGGAAACTGGCAAAGCCTTTTTTCCTTGAATTTGGGGCTGCAATTTTTTTAGGTTTGATTTACACCAAACTACATTGAAGATTCGTCGTTCGCTCATTCGCTAATTTTGATTTAAAATGACTAAAATTAAAGCAACTGGTTCGACCAACAGTGCTAATAAAATTAGGACAGTTTTTCATTCCGGATGGGATTTTTGCCAAATCTCAGTCAAAAGAAACTCACGCAACACTTAGGTACTTGCAATGAATAGGTATATTACTCCCCCTAACACATCATTACATAACGCAATCCCAAAAATGTGCAATTATGAAAACAAATAGCTAAACATAATGCAGTAATTTTTAAATGACTGCAAATAGTTAGTCCTTGCTGGAGCATATGCACATTACTAAAAAACAACATATGGTAATGAGTGCTTTATTAAAAGCATTGTTTTCGTACTTCCGAAATATAAGCGTGAGAAAAATATGCATATCTGGAAAACAATGCCCAGGATCTGAAAATTTACAAATGAATTACTAATTTTAGAAGTACCTGAAATTGTTAGGTACTCGATTCGACATTTGTGCACCAGTTTTTTGGAAAAGAGACAGCCACATTTGAATTAATAAATCATAAACAGTAAAAGTAAATTAAATACGAAATCATACTGGAAGGTTTATCTGAACTTTGAAAGATTATGCCCTTTTCTTTATCGGAATCAATTTTTTTAATATACCGTGTGTCACAGGGAGAACGCACCATAGGGAAACAGAATTAATGTATTTTTTCGCCAAGGATCCAGCAGGCCTTTGAGGTGTATTTGAAGTTATTGCGCTTGCCTGATGCTAGAAAGAGATTGGAGTAGAACGTTGAACGCTAATTTCAAAGTCCTTGTCAAGGTCCTTGTGGATCCTTCGCAAAAAATATATTGCCGTTTCCCTATTGTGCGTTCTACTTGAGACACACTGAAATAACTAAAAATTCTTTACAAAATCTGTTGGCTTTGGAAAAAATACACAGTGTGTAACAATTACAGAGTGGGAAACGTAATTCGGCATCTTCAACCTTTGGACATTCCCAAATCATTCTTGTATACAGGTTCTTGATACAGTATTTATCAATCTTGACATAAGCATGAAATCCTTTGGCACTGTCGATACAAATGGTCTTAAACCGTCCTATGATTAAAGTTTTTGAGCAAGGTTCATTCAATGAATATCATTGTGATTCTGCGGTGTTGTCGTTTTGGGGGAATAATCAACGTGTTACCATTGAATTTTCAGAAAATATCAGCTTCAAGAATCGCTTATAGGGGAAATATATGTTACTGCAACAGAGTTTTTAAATTAAATCAAATAAAAATGGCCATTTCATAACCATCCCCGAGGAAATGAGATCTGCTAAATTAGAGAAAAATTGGATTCTTCAAATATTTCGGATACTATTTGGTTAAAAGAAAACAAAAATGAATAGAGTGGCAAAGAATAGCAACAGTTATTTGTTGTACCTTATGGTTCTATAGAAATATGAGAAGTTTTCATTTTTTTAATGATAACCATAGCCTTAATACAATTACCTTGTTGATTTTTTTCTCTACTCATTAATAGCGATACATTACACAAAAGGGCAAATGTTGGTAACCAAGGCCTTCTATGAATGTCAAAAATAACTAATGAAGTTTCTGAGAAAGTATGCACAATAGCAAAATCACAAACAATTGTTCTTAACGAGATGTGAAATTGTTATATGAATAAATTGTTGGTAAGCTTAATAATAAACAAAAATATACTACCTATATAACACCTCATTACGAGAAGAATCTTGTGCAAATTTATTTAAAAAAAAGTAAATAGAAAAACCTAGATTAAATTATGAGGTTCGTCTTCTTAATCCCATGGAGGTCGAAAAAGAATTAAAACGAAAACGCAAAGAGACTTGTAATATAAACGGACAAGTTTTCTAAAACCTGTCGAATAATTTACAATTTATTCCCACTCTCTTGTGATATTATTACAGACAATGGCGGAATATTTCAACTGATCGATAAATTAATAAAAAAATCAAATTTTATCAAAATAGGAATCTACCGTTTTTAGTGATTTTTGGTAGGATTTTTGTATAAAAACCTTTTTTGCTAGAAGGCATTTTTATATTCCTGAAGAGATCGATAAACGAACCCTGACTAAAGATATTGGGAATTTTTTTTCCCCCATTAATTGTAAAATTATAATTTCAAGTTCAGTAATCCCAGTCTTTTGTGTGGGTTTTAAATTGTATACTTAGCATCCAGAGGAGTGTAAGTTTATTTTAATAGAATTTTGTACTAGGTGTTTGATTATTTGCGGATATAATGATCTAGATTAGATTAGAATTGGTCGTGATCACGAGATAGGCTTGAATTTTTTATTTTAATGCTATTATTTTAAAATTTATTGAATGATTGAATTAAGAACAATAATTAACGATTACAAACAAGCATAAGAAACACCGCAATCGGTTCTTTTCAGCATCACAGAATCGTTTCAAAGATTCGTGATTTCTTTAATTATAGTTCTTCCTTCAATAAATAGATAGCGTTTATTTTCAAAACCCAATATCCTGGAAACGATTGAATTGAGATACATTACATGGTTCTTACAAATTTTGCTTAAAATTGGAAGAAGAATTGAATGGAATAATATACAGGGTGTTCCATTTAAAAAAATGCAATTTTGGTATGCTACCCCTTTATGATGAATCCTGTGTAATTAAACTTATTACTGCTTAGTAGACATTGAAGAACCCCAAAACTTTTGTATAATTTTTTGATATCTTGTAGGTATATTTTCTTCGATAAACGACCGTTTCCAGTCTTGTCACTAGCCTGTATTTATTTGTATTAGAAATATTAGAATACACAATTTAAGATCCCTTTGTATAGGTACTCGTTTTCCAAATTAAATAGAGGAAATTTAATATAATGCGAACAAAGGAAGCGTATAGTTACGAACATTAAAGTGCTTTTAGTCCGGCATCGACTGCTAGTTGTAATTGGCAGGTAATTAGAAAGTTCTACTATGTAAATTTTACACAAATTTTACTCACAGCTAAATCCTGAGAATCCTTTGGCCCTTTGCTCGTCAGTGTGGGGTCCTATAGACGCCCCAACTAAAAAGTCAAAAATTGCCCCGACAATGATTGCGATCAGAAAATTTTGCGCTTTCGATTCCCATTCCATGCCAACCGCACAAATGAATATCATCACCAAAATGGCAACAACACCAACAATTCTAACGTCATTAATTGCTCCGTCGATAATTTTCAGATCGTATTGAGAAAGTAAGTCATTGAGAGAGTTACAAAATCCTATCGTATTCATCGATGCAGCGACGGCATTTGCGAACGCAAACACAATTCCAACCGACGCTCCAAACTCTGGGCCGAGCGATCTTGAAATAATGTAGTAAATTCCACCTGGAAGTTGCTAATATTACGCATATTGTTAATTGTCACAAAAACGGTCTTAAGTACCCCCTTTGACTTCTCCATTCGTGCAGATTGCGGATAGCGAAAGAGTCGTGATAACGCAAACGATCGCAGATACACCAATAATGATGAGTGAGTGTCCTAGATAGATAATGCAATTTAGGTATTTAGGTCAAGGGAAGTAAAATAAAACGAGGATGACGACTTACGTACCTACTCCCGATTGGGCAACTATCCAGGATAATCTAAGGAACAGCATAACACCCCAAATGTTGAGAAGGCACGGAATGAGGACGCCCTGTATCCAACCCAATTTGATTCCTTCATGATGACTAGGGGCTTCCAATTGAATTTTTTCATCCGCATTTTCTGGGCCAGCACTTGCTTCCTATTAAAAACGGATATTAGTAAGATCAATCTTTTATTAGTAGAGATCTGTTTGCCGGCGCTCGTGCGTCGCAAAGGTTCTCATAAATTTTCAAACCCTTTGTGTACTTACTGAACTTCCTTTTAAACATGTTTACATTGTAAAATCGCGAGGAAGAATCAATAAAGTTAGCAGTACATATTCTCGAAAACATACTGCTTTCACGCAATGATCGTAGACTGTGGGCATCCAATGTCATGTTTACAAAAAAAAAGGGAAAAACACGCAATGGATCGTTAATTTAGTATTTTATCAAACATATATGGAATGAGTTGGCTATTGACAATAGCAGAACAAAACTTGGAGCGTTCATAGTGACAAACAAGGGCTAAATAAAAAACCTGTTTAAATTACATTAATTTTTGGAATTCTATGATATAGGCCACAATGTCTCCTAATTATTTAAAACTCGGAACCGATATCAACACATAAAGGAAAGAAGGAATCCGAAAGGTGTGCATCCCTACACCCAACAGCCTCCTGACTGGCAGAATTACCAATCTTGTATATACTGTGACGGTTCTCAGCAATCGAAGATTTGGGGAAGTTTGCGAAAATGAGCCGCAAAGAAGAAGCGCAAGCGATTTATGGTGTTAATGGAAGGAAGAGTTGAGGAAATAATCGCGAAGGGGTTGTTAAGAAAATAGGCGTGATGGAAAGAAGTGTGAAGACTAGGAGGAAATCTGGAAAAAGGGGGCGCAAAAAGATCGCGCCAAGAAAGACAACAGGAAGAATGAAAAAGGATTTAAGGCACGGTATGGGAGTCGAAAAATTGTGAAACTAAAAGCTACAGAAAAGAAATTTGAAAAAGGAAATTATTAAGAGAGAAAATTTGAAAGAAGCACAAAAAGGACGGAAACATGGGAAACGTGCGAAGGAGAGTGTCCTAAAGGATGTCGTAATAGAAGGAAGGCATCATGAAAGATATGATGACGGAGGTAAAAAAAACGTTGTGAAATGATGAGTGAAAAGGGCGTCAAAAGTGTCTGCTGAAGGCGAGCAGGAAAATGGATTAAAACAGAGGACGTTAAGAGAGAAGCAGTAATTGAAAGGCAAAGAGAAATGATGTAACGAACGGCTGTGTGCACGTAATGTATTCGAGCAGATAAAATGGTTGTATGACGTGCAAGATTTTCTTGCACGTCATACAACCATTTTATCTGCTCGAAAGAGAAATGAGTTAAGAGCAGTGTCCTAAAGGAGGTATAATAGTTAAAAAAAGTTGAAAGCAGTACTAGAAACAGTTTTGACCATTTTTACCACCCGCACGTTAGTAAGGGAGGTATTGCATTGGGGTCTACTTTTTTTTTCGAAAATACCCGTTTTGAAGCACCAAGGCTCTGAATCAAACAAAATCTGTTGGTCTGTCTGTACTCTCATTTCCGGCTAAACGGGTCAACCAATTGGAGCCAAATTTGGTACACATATTCCTAGAGATAGGGCTGAAAAGTTTTGGGCAGAACGCCCATGTACAGCTGTGCGGGTGGTATCTGTACTAGCTACAGGAAATTTTTGACTAATCTCTCGTTTGTGAGATATAGCCTGTTGTAGGTTTCTAAGGTAAATGTGAAGAGGGCGTGAAGGAAAAGGACACGAAGAAAGGAAATAAAGAAAAACGCATGAAAGAACAAAGTGTGAACGAAAAAGGATTCGGGAAAAGGGCATAATAATAACATAGAAGGAAGCGGAAAGGGAGGCGCGAATAATGCGTGAAAGTGAAAGTAAATTATTGTAAAATCCACTGATAGTTATAACCGCTAATTAATTAAGTGCTAATTATGCGCTTTATTGTGCCGTTGAGTTAAAACCTTTGCGCCCTAGTATAATGAGTTATTTCAACTTCACGTAGTCGCTGAATTTTTGATGAATGCAAGCGCTACGTGAATTTGAAATAACTCATTTGAAAATTTCATTTTAACGGTGCTAAAAGGCGCATAATTATCCCTTAATTTTTGCACAACACAAACTTCATGTATGAAAAAGTTCGCACTGGAATAATAATTTTTGGGGTGACTCATTTTCCCCACAACATTTTATTCCGCCTAATTACGCATTCCAGTAATTAAAATTAATCACAAATAACTCGATCACACACCTTCAAGGAAGTGGTAAGGAAAAGAAACCTTCCAGGATGACGTTTAAAAACGTTTCACGACCTCCGTAGTGGGATAGCCGTGATATCCTGGAAAAAGTGGGATTTCAAGAAACTTAGAGCGGGCCTAAAATTGTTCCTCCTCGAACGTGTCGGGGGAAGGGGGGGGGCTCTGTAGCCGTGGATTGGTAACTAATAGTGAAGCCTAGAGGAACCCACTGGAGGACGCTCGATTCGGACTCCTATTAGGGTAGTCCGCTTTGAATGCCGCACCCTGGTGAAGAGAGGTCGCGAAGAACGAGGGGTGTGGGAGTGTACTTATGTAGTTATCGAACCTGCGTGGCAGTACCGTTAGATGCTGGTGCTTTCCTTAATATGTTGATTTTAAATATTTTCAGTTCCAGGGATGAGAAGTTGTGACTAGTAGTTCGCAGTGCAGAATTTTCTTTTCGTCTCTTCATGGAAAAGTGGTGGAAATACGATTCAGTGTGGACCAAGGGGCATTTAGGTAATCATAAAATGCAGTGAAATTCGTAAAGATGAAGCCGGTGAATTATTTAAAGGGAAAACTTCGGTGGAGCTACATGTTCAGTGTTCAGTATACACTAAGCGTCCAAAGGCCCCTACTGCACCTGAATAAGTGCAGAAACCACCACGGACTTCGACTTCAAGCTCCATTGCATGTTCTGCAATCGATGAGTGGATGTTCAACACCCAGAGCGTGTGCCTTTCTGTCAGATGAGCACTTTAGAAATAATTCGTAGTATGCTGTCAAAAGAAATGACCAGTGGGGTCACCACAAAGTTAAGCGCGGTTTCAGACTAAATGGCAGCTGAGCGTAGATACCATAGGGAGTGCTAGTGTTTGTCTTCTAGCGCACAGGGCAAAAAGTGCAGGTTTCGATAAATTATCCCAAGTGTTTGAAGAGCTGAAGTTAATACAGTAGCTAATTTTTTTACTATTTCATTTTACCTAAAATCGTCCTGAAATATTCATTTTCAAGCCTACTTTCTGTCAGAAAATTTTAATTTCCATGACAGAGGCAGAGCAGACTACGTTTCCTGCCGCTTGTTACTTTACTGATCGCATTTGTCACTTTACCGGCCGCACCGTCACTTTACCGGCCGCATTTGTGCTAAATTTCCACAATGACTCCTGTCATCACTGACAGATTGACATTAATCAAAAGTTCTACATAAAAATTGAAATGTTATATTATACGATTTCGGGTAAAATTTAATACAAAACTCGTCACTAAAATTATACTTGGATTGGGAATTAAAGAAAATCTTTTTTAAAGAAAATCTTTTTTAAACACGTTTTTTTATTACTATTGCGGCTATCGATTTCGACCTTATCAGGTCATCTTCAGGCCGAGCGTCATTTGGTGAAGTGATGATGCATGTAATATTTTGACGATGTTATATATTATATTAGTTGTCAGGAATGAAAAATTAAGTGTAATAAAAGTTTTATTACAATACATCAATCAAAATGATACTACTTGACTCGGAAATTAAAGTACTCGGCCCCAAAGGGGCCTCGTCCTTCAATATTTCCTCGCCAGTAATGTATCATTTCCATAACTTTTATGTAAATAACTATTATTTTAAGCCCGGAATCCTGAAACTGAAAGTTATAACGTCAACATAATATTAAGAACAATAGATAGTCGTTTAGTACTTAAAATTGGCGCCCTGCCATCGCTCTAAAATTCTAGCTTTTCCAGGTTTTGGTTTTTTGACACTGGAATGCAGTGGACTCTGGAGGATAAATCTGATAAATCTGAAATCTGTCTTGTATGTAAAAAATGTGACCGAATGAAAAAAAAACAAAAAAAAAACGATTTACTTGAAATTCCAGGATATCCGGGCTATTCCATTAGGACTAGAGAGATCGTGGGACTTTTTTTGTGTCATTCTCGAAGGTGTCCGAACGTATTCCAAAAGGTCCCGCTTAGTAATTATAAATATCTGGGTCAAAAACTAAGTTTACTGTAGTAAATGACTGGTGGGAAAAAAAGAAGTAGAACTGGAAGGGATAAAGATATAAAATTAGGAGCGCCTTTTATCAGTAGAAGCGCCAAGTGGCCCGAGCTGGAAAAGTAATGTAAGTCATCCGTTTCATGAAACTTTAGTACAAGCATAAGGAAAAATATACCCACAATCCTAAACCTTTGTTTATTCCAGTGCCTAAACGTAGGCTTTATACAAGAAAGAAATGCACTTATCACAACAAAGCATACACACCTATTTGGAATAAACTAGTTTATACAAGACAAGGTAGAAAAACCAGTCCCATAACTGATAACTGATTTGCTAATTTCTCAAAATTTAGGGCTGTGCACTATGCAGGGCGCTTAGAACATTTTCTTCGACAATTGTATGCATAATGATGCTCCACGATTCTATAATGACAGTGCTCGCTTTTACACCGACTAATATATCGTGGATAACGATAATTGAGTATTCAGTTGCAAATTACAAAAACAGTTAGTAGGTACCTATTTTCCTTCATCGTTGGTAACTTATGCAAATGACCAAAATGTCATTAGATCACATTCCCGTGAACTGAACATGGAAGTAGCTACTTATCGAAGGTAACTATTTGATCGATAAACCTTTTAAGTGCCGATGACATCAATTAGAAACTATGGAAGTTTCGCTATCGTTTAACCTTGAATCAGTCTAGCGTTTTTTAACGTAACGTAATACCTGCCATGCCTTTTGATCTACAGATATCAGTTCATACATTTTTAGAAATTCACCAAGGATTTTCTAACTATTGGGCGATCCGAGGTTTTTAAAACTTGAAAAGTTCATGTCTAAGAGTTCATGGAACCATGGAAGCTAGTTGAAACTGGTGAACAGTATCGTCAATTCCTTTGTTTCCTTCTATTTTGCGGGCGTGTACTATTATCATGTTGCACATTAAGATATTTACAAGTGTCCCGTGTGCAAATCTTTCCTGAATAAATTGCAAAGAAATGCCACGATCCACTGAACCCCTTGAGACCATCAAGCTTTACGTTAACGAATCACCGCAGGTTCTTTGGATGAGCTGTTACCTAGACTCTTAGAGATACAAATTTCTTTGAAATTGTCTATACTGTATATCTTGTCGCCAGTGGACTTTAGAATTAATGTGTTTTGGCATTATCCGCTCGACCGTTCATTTCATAGTACCAGTGTTAAAATAGTGTGAAGAAATGACAACAGAACTGACTGATTTTTCAAAACTGCAATCCAAAGACAAAACGGGCTTCGGTTAACAATTTCAGTATTTTAGGCATAACGATAGCCATTTCTATAAATCAATACAATTTACTATTTCTGTCGATTCCTAAATAATTTGAAATAGAAACGTCTCAATCTAAAGAGATGACGTTAAACTTTTCATTCACACATATGTCAAAAACAAATTTAGCGAGCTTTCATGCTGCCTAATTTGGAAAATAACAGTTTTTTAATTGTGAAAATTTTATCATCTAACTAATCCGCACAAAGGGTGTGGGTAACAATTCGAAACGATTAATTAAATTTTAAATAAACCAATTTTCAAGTTCAAGAACAAAAATCTTGGCGCATCACAGAGACATTTATTTCCTGTAATTGACAACTGTAAATAAAAATAACACCTCCTGTGTGTAACTCACATTTCCAATAAGTAATTTTTCGATTTTAACGTTTAAAAATAGCAATTTTGAAAGATTTAAGGTGGAATTGCAGGTACTGGACCGACAAATAGAATTTTAATTGCTTCCGTTTGTGACCTGCCAAATTTTACATTTTGACATCTCTACTTCTACAAATCAGTGAGTAACAGTTTTTGGAAAAACATACTATCGATTCCGCACGCTTTCAGGTTTAAACATGTTTTTCCAATTAATTGGGTTCTTTTTAGGTCGGCGTAAATTGGGCGCAGAGGTGTCATTTTTATTTTAAATTAGCTTATTTGTCTCCTGCCACTGGAATAGTTGTTTGTAATTAGAGAGATACCTACATTAACAAATTGGTGAGATCATTAGACTACGTATGCAACAAATGTGGTTTATGGTCATTAGAAAAGTAAGCGGTTACCTTAGCGTTTTCTTCCCTTCCGTGCAGGAGTTCACCCAAAGAAGGCCTTTTAAGCGCTCTTTTTGAATTGCGGTAGTTTTCTAAACGCGGAAGGGCCTCTCTTGTAAGTTGAGCCAATGATCGCTTGCGTTTTACGTGGTTTTCGTATAAACAGGTGGTTGAAGTCGTGTTTATTAACTCCCCAACAGTGTCTTGAGGAACATTTAGTCTAACACAACCGTTTTCACTCAACTGCATGCCGTTATTGTCTACACCTCCATCATCAATGCGCCGTACTGAAAAACGATTTTCCATTTTAACACATAGTTTTAGACGATTTCAAAAAGCGTATTTTCCACTATCGCTCTGTGAAACGCGGAGTGTTTTCAATGAGCTTTCGCTGAGTCGACGAAGCACTGGCGCTATCGAATTGATGCGGCGCTTTATGTATTCGCGATTGACAGCGTTCTTCGCACCTTTACTCTAAAAACTGGCACCAATTATCGAAATTAAATTGAAGGCAGGGAAAGCTGCAGGAGTTACTTGCTATAGAGACGCCGGTGATTTGCCTTCAAAGACGCGCACGACAAAATCGTCCAACACACATTACTGGATTTTAATGACATAAATTGTAAAACTTTAATGGTAATCGTTTTTGAACGTTTAATCTTTCATTTTACACGGTACGTGGGAACACATAAATGAAAGTTAAACAATTTTATTTTAATCTTCATAATAAAAATCCTATACCTCCCAGTCCTCTGTCACCGTTCTTCATGAAAAGTGGCAAGTACAAGTGGTTATAAATGCACTATACCAGTTGTATCTGCTTTAATCCCGTAATATCCGAAACCAATTACTACTAATTAACAATAACATAATATCACCTTGAATTTTAAGTATAAATTAACCTTAGAGTGATAAGTCCTTTAGAAATGGAAATATTAATATACTATTTGACATTATTTTAATATATTACAAAGAAAGCCACATCAGTTTAGAATGCAGAAGCAGTATTTAAATATGTCTCTCTAATTAAGAGCGTGAGATAAGACCCATTCCACACTTTATTGTGTAAGTGTGGCAGTAATTTAAAATTTGCGGTTTGTTAGTGTTGACAGTGATGCTTAAGTACTAAAAAGTGCACTTGGTTATGAGTCACGTTTCCCTTGGGATTTAATTTTTTTTCTAAAAGTCACAAAACTTATACCTACGATCTCCATTTGGTTACCGTTCTTTATTGAAATCCTTTCCAAATTAAATTTGCCAGCAGTTCTTGCGCGCTTCCTTCCAAGTTGTCACCGTCTAATGTCCTATAATACATTTGGTCGTCTCTTGTAGAAGACAATGTTCCAAATGAATTTTGAGCTTCTGGTTGGAAACTAATGTGTGGCATAATTTTAGTTTCGAAAAATTAAGGGTGCCTTCGTAATTTTCAAAAAAACGTTTTTTGCATTCCAGTGTAGTGTTCTTTGGAGACGAGATACGCATAAATTGTATTAAGAAAAGTTGTTCAGAATGAAAAACGTGCAAAGTACTAGGCCTACTTTGATTTTTTTGATGTTTTGGTTTTTTAATTGGATTTTTTGAGGAAATCCGAAAAAGTTTTACTTAAAAAACTGTTTAAAATAAAATGTACTTGTAGCAGTTTAAGCCGTACATTATTCCGCATTGCTGTGTGTAATGGCATACGGTCAAAAATACCACCCAAATTACAACCTTTGTTTCGTTCTATTTTTTAAATTTCTCTCAGGACACGAATGGGTACAGACACAAACAAGAAATCCAAACATTGCCTTAAAACTTTTATAAATTTGAAAGAGCCCAAGGCCTCAATCAAATTTCTTTAAACGCCAAGGTAATCACTACTCAAATTTTTAAATAGAAATTTACATTCGGATTAAAAAAATTAGAAAAATCTAACACAGAAAATTAAAACTTTACCTACTGACACATAATTGATTAATATAAAGAAACTACGAGAATTTATTCTCAGTCTCACGCATTTTAACAAAAAAAAAACTAATACAATAACAAAAACTGTAAGAAAAATTTTAAGGCTAACAGTGCCTTTTTGAACAGTACACCCCGTTTGCCAAACGGACGAATCGAAAAAGCAATTAAAGATATCTCAAGAAAAATAATTACTCATAGTTCAGGTAAATTTATTTATAATCATTTCCTTATTTACCCATAAGGGTGTAAGGATATCTTTACATTCTACTTATCCTATTTCCTTACATCACTACGTTAAGGTTCCTTACCATGCTCGTTTCGGTTTTCCTTTTTTCTTCTAGCCTATTGTTTTTGCTTCCCAGATCTTTTTGGATTGTGTACTGCTGACCATCCTTAGTAAATGCCCCCACCAACCCAATTGCCTTCGTTCGATGAATTCTTCTACAGATTATACTTCAGTTCTCTCCTTATTTCCTTACTCCGAACTTCCTTCATCTGTTAGTACCCATGATCCACATCCATACGTGAGTATACTGGTCTTTTGCTTTGTAAACCTTGATCTTCCTTCGTGATTTCTCTCTTGTTAATGATCCCTTTGCTTAGTGTGTAATAAAGTTCGTTAGCTTTTCCAATCCTCTCAATAATCTCTACTCTTTGATTTCTCATTTCTTCTAGAGTTACTCTTAGATATTTGTAGCTATGATTACTTGTTCTTCTTCTAGTATGATATTGATTTCCGTTTTATCAGCTGCTATTACCACAGTTTTGGATTTGGCTTTGTTTATATTCATGCCATTTTCATTTAAGATTTGATTCCCCACCTGTAAGTTTCCTCGTAAATCGTTACGTCGTCCGCACATGCGCATTCCGAAATTTATAACTTTTCTACATTTCTATATCCTACATATAGGGGTTTTGTTCTTAGTTTGGCACTTCTCATTAGTTAGTTCGGGAATCTAATAAATAACAATGGCTTCCTCCTTCTCTGACCCCTTTTATGTGGAATATCTGGGACTGCGTATTCTTACTTCTAATAATTCGTCCATTGTTATTTCGTCGCTTTCCCGCTTCCTTCCTTCTTCTGTTACACTTACTTTTTCTCCATCTTGTACCCTTTCTGTTGCGCATTCTCCATCTAATACGAGCAGCTTCTGGAAGTATTGCTTCCATCGCTTGTTTTTCCGTTTATGATCTTTAATTTCTATGCAGATCGCTTTCTTATTATTTCTGAAACGTTGAAGCTTTAAATAATTTTTGGTTTTCCTTCTGTCCACCGTGTCGGTTGTCTCTTGTTTCTATTTTCTTTGTTATTCCACATGTATTTTTGGCTGCCTCAATTACTAAGTTTTTGAATATTTTCCACATTTCTTCTGTCCATTTATTTTCTATTGCTTCCTTGTTGTTTAATATTCTTCTCTTTACTTCTTCTCTCTCTTTTTTCTCTAGTCTATGTCTTCATTGTTTCTCTACTCTTCTTTACCTCTTCCTCTCTTCCTCCTTTCCGTTCAGTTTTGGCTATCGCTAGAAAATGATCGCTCCCGAATTCGTATCATCTTTTAAACTTCACATCTTTAATTAGCTTTCTGTTTTGTCTTTCTATTATTATGTAATCTATTACCGAATATTCTTTTCTGATTGGTACTGCTCTTGTGTATTTATGTATCTCTAATAAAAAGAATTATATTTTATTTGCGCTGGTTATGAGCTAAAAATCAAGACAAATCGAAAATAAACGAATTTTGATTGTTTAAAAGTATAACCAAATGTGCCTATTGTAATTTGTCTACATTCGTGTGAAAGTTTAATTAAATGTATTTCGCGAAATCCCTAAAAAGAGGCAGGCGAAGGGCGAAGTCGAGTTCCGCCATTTCTCACTTTGCCTGCTGCAATGGTCATTTCGCAAAATGCCTAGGGATTTTGCAAAATGCCGGATTTCGCAGTTTGCCGGTAACATATACACTAACGTTTTCAAATGTAAGAAAGAAGTCAAGTGGACTCAAGTGCGGAGACTGTTGTGGCCATTTTAGGGCAATCTTCGTGGCAATCCATTTACAAGGATAACGTCCATTTGTAACCAGAGCATTATGTGAGGGAGCACCGACAGTTCCGTGAACGATTGGACCCATTCAAAATTTTTATTTTCATCAGCTTATCTAGACCAGACAATGATAAATGCTCTTCGACTAGTATCATAGTAGTTTATTCTGCACTTGATTAACGCTTTTACAATTTTCTACTACGATATGAGTACTTAGATAAGCTTGAAAGAACACACGGTAATTGAAAACGTGTTTAACATACGTATTTTAGCTAAATATCACTAAATTTACGCCTATTAAAGTAAATGGCAAATTAATGCTCTGTGAAAATAACTACCACTCATAACAATATGTAATTGTAGTCTATTGTTTCAAACAAATTCGTGACTTATTTTGCGCAGTAAGGTTTAAGCGATGGACAGCCGTCACTTTCTTGTTGCACAGATTACATGTCATTCCGTTTGCTCATTAGTCATTATTGTCTCCCAAGATCATTAGATCGCAATAACCCTCACAAAGGTAACGCTACAACCAACCCCCATGGTTCCATAAACTATTTATTAAAAATATGGTAGTTGATATTCATCATAAACAATAGCTATTTACATAAAAGTCAGGAAAAGTAGTCAAATAGTGTCTAACTGATGAGTTTTATATTAAATTTTTTTTTATCCCATTTTTTTTTTAAATAAAATTTCAATTTTTCTCTCAGTTTTAACAGTAGAAGTAAAAGTAGTCGGGTAAAGTGTTACTGTCACTGTCATGGAAACTAAAGTTGCCCGATAAAAATAGACATTGAACATGAATAGTCTTATATGCAGATAATATAATATCTGGATGGATACAGTTAGTATAATGACCAGGTAGGTCGGTTTGAAAGTACTGATTCTCGTTTGGTGACGTTATTCCATCCATATTCCTTTATTCCATGTGCAATTTTATCGAATTCCGAAAAGTAGGTAACTTAGTCTACTTAGGCAAAAATGGTCTACTGTTATAATGACCAACGGATAAACGTAACTTTGTAAGGTCAACTCTAAACAAAATGCAATCGCAGATTGTTCTCGTAAATAATATCCTACATCATAGTTGAATTTCAGTAAACACTTTATATCTTATCTTTTGTTATGGTTTCTCAAGTTTTAATTATTGTAAGACTCAAAAAAATTAATTTTTCGTGGAAGTCAGTAGTAATTTACCAACAACTATTATCGTCGTAATCAACTGTGATTTCCGAGTAGAAAAACCTTGTCGTCGCTTCCTTATCCTTTGGTGCTATTGGCTATGACGTCACGGTCACA